CTTTCCCTGCCACCTTGGAATGATCTTCGCTCATCAGCAGGCCTTGTCCAAATATCTGGCTTGCCACGAGATCGAGGCCTATCCATGAACTCCATACTTCTCGATTCGTCATATGACCCAGGTCGTGAAGGAGGTCTCTCTGAAAACCCAGGAGACCTGCCTGCCCCAGAACCTGGCCTTTCAATGGCTTTTGGTCCAAATCGAAGTTTGTCATCCAAATCATGGACCAATATTTCTAATTCCCTTTCTTTCTCATTTATCATCTCCCTTAAACCGGGTAGGTCATCAACAGAGACTTGTTGAGGTTCCTGATTCACTTTTGTCGTCAATTCTTTCTCAAGCTCTGTCTTCAAATGCTCTATTTGTTCTTTCAATAACTTTTCCTCTTCAGTTTCAGGCCTAAAATAATTTTTACAGTTAGTATCAAGAATACAAGTTCATCAGTCACCATGAGAACCACACAATGCTGACACAGTGCTGAAAATGAGCAGACAGAGAAAAATACATTATTCTAAAGCATTCACATACAACCAGAGAATCATAGGTCACAGTAGAGACTTTAAAATAAAGTATGCAGTCACAAAACTCCAGTAAAAGTTTCAGCAATTAAAGGAAGGTGCAAACAGGTAGAAGTGAAAAAATGGAGGGAGCGACAGTAGAAAGGTGCTGTTTACGCCATGAAAACTGAAAGAAATACAGAGTGAAGATCAAGCAGGGGTACTAAATCATGGCATAAAATACATTCAGCAAAATGAATATGGGGCCATATGATATCCCGCAAGCCATTACAAAAATATAAACAAGATAAGACACATGAATGCCTTGATGCTGCAGATGTACATGGAGCTTTCAGGAAAAATTAATCATAGATCACATGAACAAGCAAATTTGGGATTTAAAAAAATATGCAACATAACATCACTCAACAGCAGTTATGTGCAGTTATGACCATTAAGTTAATTAAAATGCAGAGGGGATGAGAGGTGAACGAAAACAAGGGGGAAAAGGGGGAAAAAAGCCAACCCCTGGATTGAAGATTAACCAGTTTAGTTAACTGACAACAGTTTCAATGTTGTTAAGTCCACCTCATCCAAATAATGCACATACATTCTTGCATCAAACAGCAATAACAACATGGAAAAGAAGTGCCACATGTAGCAGTAGCATCATCTATATAAAATTAAGACAAGTGCACATGTTAAATTGTCATGCCCATACAGATAACCAAGAAAACAGCCACAAAAAAAAAAATTTGCATTCTGTTATGTTCATCCAACCAGAAACAACAAACCAAATTCAGCAATTAGCATGGTGAATACAGGCAGCCTCAAAAGTTAGCCAATGCAACCACCAAAAACTTTACCAGCAAATCAGTAACACCAAAGTACGTTTTCAATATTACTGCGAAACATTAATGGGTGTACGCTTAATAAGAATACCACTGGACTAGTGTGCATTTTTAACTGCAATGTATTCTACTTCAGTGGGTATTTTAAACAAAACATGCTTAAAACAGTAAGTAATTCCACATAATAATTACAAAAATCTATTCACTGTGTCCCACAGAGAGTTCCTTAATGACAAAGGAAGTATATTAAGAACAACTATTAAATGTTGTCCCACCTCACATATCTTTTTTATAGACGTTCCAACATTGTCCTTTCAAATTAAATGTTGTTGAGGTGCTGGATTTAGTTTTTGATAAAGGGGAAAAATATGAACACAAGAGAATGAATACTTCAGCTCTTTTATAATGGACATATTTTGGAACAGGACTAAAAGGATACGAGGACAGTCTTTGTGGGGCTGAAGCATATTTATTTTTTGCAATTGGAAAAATATTCTTTGTAAATATACCAACCTTAAACTCAGCAAATTAACTTTTGGAATTGTGTCCATAAAATGAAAGTGGGAGCAAGAAGTATCAGCATCCCTCCTAACAGAAGTTATAAGATCTGTGGTGTCCATAAAATGGACAAGAGAGAGAAGCATCAGCTAACCCCAGGCAATGAAGGAAGCATATCAACAAATGAGCTGATTTGAAAAGGAGACAGTAGAGACAGATATGTTGAAACAAAAAAATTACATGACATGAGCCGACAGAAAATCATCTAAATATGTTTTGGTTCCGTGCAATGTGGATTTATGCATGCTTCACCATGAAACAATGATTGGATTCAAGTTGTAGACTTGAACAAAATGAAGTTGGGAAAAAGACCAAAAAAAACAAAAACAGAAACCCTCTCTATGTATAACATTTGTGTGTGCCTGTGGATTTTGCTAACCTGACCCTTGTGCCCACTTTTCTTTGGACAAAATTAACCTAAAATTTAATATTTTATAAGGGCATATGTATCCATTAACTACAAAGGTTTCTCTCACACACCTCTCTTAGTCTTTCTCTGTTTCTCACTGACTGCAAAATCTTTTTTTTTTTTTTTCATGAAGATCATAAGCATTCAAAATCAAATAGATAAGATTATTCTCTAATCAACAAGACTTAGCAAGCATTTTGCCCCCCTTCATAGAACATTGAAGTTTATAAACATTATAGACACAAAGGAGAATGATTGCACAATGCCCATCTCTTTTTTCCCCTTCATTTGCAAACATTCTATAATGGCATATCACTAGTTGAATTCAATCAAACAATCGAATGTCCTGAGATCACCAGTAATACAAAAGCCTAGCTACATATGACATGGACATCCAAATTGGGAATTTTGAGGTGTATTTCCATATGCATGATTATGACAAAGATACCATTATGGCATTCAACCAGTGATTGAAGGCAGGAAAGGAGAAGATGAATAAGGGATAAATAAGATAGAAAGAATGCCCTAGATGAAAAACCCTCTTCTTCTTCTTTTTACATTTCTTCTTCTTTCTTTTCTTTTTTTAAACAAGGTATTGGTGTCAAGTAAAAGCAGACACAAAAAGAACCCACCAAATAGCTGGTAGGTTATCGTGTATATAGCTAAAAGTATAAAATCTAAACACAGAACCCATCTCTTTTTTCTGTAAAACTCAAACTGTTGCCCTCAGACCTATGCCCTGATAAACTAAAAAAAGATACCACCATTTGTCATGAAAACCTGACAACATCATCCATCCAAGTACGGTGATCTAGGAAAGAAAATTGGTGAGGCAAGACTTCTCCAGCTTATGCTTGTATCAATTGTAACAAAAAAAAATCTCATCATAAAGCATGATAATACACTTGTTGAAATAAGAAAGCTAAAAAAGTAAAATATATAAACCTGTTTGCACAAAAGGATATTAACAGGAATTCTCGAGAAGTACAGAGAATGGAATACTTGCCAACAAAGCTCAATTGTAAATCAAACCAACTCATGACCAACTACATGATATGGAAAAAATAAAAACAATAACTCAACTAGCTTAAGCATGCCAACGGTAGATGCAAATGTTGCAATATAATCCTCTTCAGTTCAGCCACTTACCAAGAAAAAAAAAAAATACAGGATGAGCCTGGAAACACAACAAAGATTGTGACCAAGGAAATTTTAGCTGAAGACAGGGTAGAACCAGCTTTTTTCCTATTTTGAGCTCAGCTTATTCAAATTTGAGTTTGTCAACACCCTTAAGCTTTTCGGAAATTCAGAAATACCCAACTATATTTTTTTACATCACAAATCAATATTCAATTCCTATTCAACAGAAAATCATTTCAAAACTTCTGCCGTGTAGTTGTATGAGACAAGCTATAAACATATTCATGGATTTGGAGAGAGACTGTACAAAAAGAATTGTTAGTCATCATCAAGCATCAAAATTCTAGTGCAATAAGCAAGGGTGTCAGTTCATATGTTTTGCAACACAAGAAGTCACAGCTAACATTAGAAAAGCATCAGATCATACTTGAAATTCCAAATTATCCAAATGCTTCTCAATGTCCTATTATCATTGTAAGATCAGCTAATGGCTAGCATATTGTATATCCCACAACAAATGAAACCTAACAGAAATATCCACAACAAAAAGAAGCAGTTTGAAGCCAGATAAGATAAGAGAAGCATTCTCGAATTGACAATATGCAAAAGCCCAAGCAAGAAGACACACATGAACATAAGCAATTCCAAGAAAACCATGCGCACAACGTATGAACACAACAAAGATAATGCCACAATACATACCTATCCACCCCACGATGCTCCAACTCACGGTCAATCTTCATCCAATCTTGGCCTCTTTCCAGCAACAATAGTTCCCTGGGCTTTGCCTCTCCAAAAGGATTCACCTTCGGCCTCGGCTTCACAGCCACATTCTCAAACCCTTGGTGTAGCAGCCCTGAACCTTCAGACCTATTCGATTGGGCACTAGAAGATCTGCTAGAATGTGCACTAGTTGGCCTGCTAGATTGTAAGCTCGAGTTCTTCTTAGCTTCTATTTCCATCTCCAGCTTCTTCCAATCCAATCCTTTCTCTGCCAACACATCTTCTCTCGGCCTCGCTGACCCAAATGGATTAGACCTGTTTGTTTTTACAGGCTCCTTAACTACAACTTCAACTCTTGGTGGATCCAGAACCAATCTAGGCCTCTCCCTCTCTGGCTCACGATATCCTCCCCTGCTCGAGCGATCAGGCTCCGGTCCAGAATCACGAAAACCCGAACCAAAAGTAGAACGAGTAGGTAACGGTTTTTTACCAACTGCCCAATTATCAACTTCATCAGCCCTAGAACCACCTCCGTCACCACCTCCACCTCCGAGTGAACTGTAACGACTTTGTCGTCCAGAATCAAAAGAAGGTAGCGGTTTCTTCGCCATTGCCCAATTATCAACCTCATCAGCACGCGAAGGCTGATCGTAATCAGAAACCCTAGGAGGCTGGCCTCTTCGTTCATCATCAAAACCACCACCAAATTGCCTTCTACCACCACCACCCCAAGACCCGTCGGTGTTGTCACGATCACGCATACGTCCAGAAGGCGGCCCGGTTCGACCGTAATTGGAAAATCCACCACCGAGGTGTCCATGCTGCATTTCTTCAGCGGAACGCTCTTTTGGACCTGTAGGGAGGCGGAACATCTCGTCAGGAGTCAAGCCTTTGGATTCAACAACGCTGCCGATGGATGTGGAATAAAATTCGTTGAGAGACATTTTCTTCTTTTTAGGCTTAGCGGTAACAGCAGCTTCTTTTAGGCTGGGGAAGCTTTGAGAAACGGCTGCTGCAGCGGCTGCGCGCTCCTCTTCTTCGGCTTGCTCGGAATCGGCTGCCCATGCACCGATTTTTCCCCACTTTTTTGACATTGTTTTAAGAAAGGAAAAAAAAAAGATCCGGAAGGGAGAAATGAACGGATCTTTAGAATATGAAAAATTGGTGAACTTAGGGAGAGAGATTCGGGTGAGTAATGAGCTGGGCTCCGTTAAGGGAGCCGGAGCTCTGAGAACATGCGTTGATGAGGACGGAGGAGGACGGCGGAGGAGGAGGAGGGTTCCAGTTGTTGAGTTTGTTTCTTTGTTATTATTATTATTATTAATCTCTTTTAAACAAAATCTAAAAAAAAGTAAATTAAAAAAGAAGTCCAGAGACAGAGGGACTGCTAAGGTGACCAGCGGGTGATGAGGATCGGAGTGGTCTGATGTGATCAGAGGAAGCAAGGCAGGGGTGATTCTTGGTGTGTGGAGCGGGGATAAGGGACGATTGTGTGGCCCACTAGCGATGGAGGAGTCAGTGATTTTAGAAATTATGGAATTGGACGGCCAGGATGCTCTTGGGATCCTCCACCTTTTTTCGGGTGGAAAAGGAGCATTGGCTAATAGCGCAGCGCGTGCTAGTAATTTCTCAGAATAATAACCAAACAGTTGCCAGTAGTCTTGTGCTGTCCAAAAGAGATAGCTCTCTATTATTAAATTATTATAATTGAAGAAATTACAGTGCCTTGAACAACCTTGTTTCCCTGTGATTGAAGAAATTGTAGTGATTTGAATCTTTTTGTCGGTTGAAATTGACGACTGCACAATAGTTGGATAGTGACCGTCCGATATCGTAGTACCTTATATTTCTTTCTTATCACGGATATATATAAAAAAAACTGCTTAGTTAATTAAAAAGCTTTAATTTTTTATATTGGATTTCACACGTGTCGAATTTTAGTTTTTAATAAATAAGATAACTTGTTTTTTATTTATTTTACATACAAAAATTAATTTTTTTTATCTAAACACATATTAAAAAAAAAACATGTTTTTTAATATTTTTAATTAAAAATACATCAAAATAAGTTTACTTACGATTTATTTATGTTAGTACATCCAAATCATTTCAAAAAACATAAAAAAAACCACATGCTATAAATGAATCACCTGTCTTTTTATTAAGGTTTGATCCAATCCCACCCCTCATATTCGTGATTTACAGTTCTATAACTCTCATCAACAATTTTCTAAACCTGGCAAATATTATTTTTAACATCGTTTTTCTATATTAACAACAACGGAGATGACCATCTGAATTTCTAGCAAGGATTCCGGCGATGCACGGGCTCGTTTTGGCAGCACCAACTTAAAACGTCCATGAATTCACTGCCTTTGATACAATAGATACACCTCTTCTTTCCACTCACACAACATCAGAGAGCGAAGATGAGAAGGAAACGGGGACAGAAACTCCGCTGTGTGTCAGTTTATACTAGGGACAGTTGAGGGCAAACAATGCACAACCATGCATCTCTAACTCCATTGATATTGAATCTTTTATTTCTCCAAAATCTTTTCCACTCCAAACTTCTCTGCCGTGACATGATGTCGCCTTCAAGTTTCTCCCAGGAAGTGCCTTAGTGAGGTCTGATATCGTTGCTGATGTTACTGTCTTCTCTGAGTTCAGATTGAAAAGTGCAACATAAATCTCTCCTGAGTAAACAGTGGCAAAGTCAGTGCTGAATTATTAAGAGCAACAGACACATGTGATATGTCATAAAAGTTTTCAGACAATGAACTGTCAGCATGGTATGGTTGGATACTACCAGATCAGTGTCGTAGTAGACACATAAGTTGGCAGCTAGCAGAAGAAGATCATTAATTCTCTTTAAATTAGGCAACTGGGAACTTGATAAAATGAATATATATTTACGTAATCAATGAAGCATGAATATAGATAGCGAACAGACAATTTTCCACCTCAGTTACAAGGAAAAAAAAAAAAAACCAGTCAGATTTAAAATAGCAACCCTTCACTAAGGAGGACAATTATAATTATCTTACGATAACCGATGATGAGCATATGGCTCAGTGGTAGAGATCTCTTCTTCGAGTCTCACCTATGTCAAAACTTCAATAAAAATCGGAACATAATCATCGAAAAAAGAAAAACCATCTCAGGGGTGAAGTTTCTCATCAAACCACAAACTTCTTTGGGTTCTTTTAAAATGAAAAAAAAAAAACAGCAAAGGAATGGTAACAGAATGGAAACCAAATTTATAGAGACTTTAGGTGGGCATTAAACCTTTTCTACCAGTAGCAATCCAAGAGCGAACTCCTCCGCTGTTACCAACATTAGCTGCATATATCAAGGAAGGATCATCAAATAGCCCTCATCGTATGTATAGAAAATCAGCTTGAACTTCTAGCATAATACCGTCAATTGATTTCACAGATACACAGAGACCAGAATAGCTGCTGATAAGGGATCCATTATTGCTTAACTCCCACATCTGTTGAAATTAAGAGTTTGCTTTCAAATACCACTCATATATGTAAAATTCACGAGAAAAAAATGTCACCCTGCAGACTGGCTGTGAGCAGAAAAACACAAGCATTCTGGCAAACCAATTAATTATATGTATTTGTTAAATTGTTTGATGTAGATTTATCTCCTTCGCATTCCACCAAAATCTTACAGGTTACTAATCTCTGTGCCTCTTTGTTAGATGCTAGGGAATTGTGAATGAAGAGATACCTGTTTGGCATCTGATCCGCAAGGGGAGAAGGAACCACTGTTAAATTCTTTTGAAGTACGCTTCTTTCTTGGAGATGCATCCAAACAAAACTCCATTTCATCACTAGCTAATAAATAGAACCCTCCTTGATTGTTAATTAACCGTCCATCACTACATTGCCATTCACAGAATCAGATAGTGAAAATAATAATAAAAACTTGTTTGGAACAACTTGAAAAGGACGGTGAAAGTGCATACGAAGTCAAAAGAGGTTTTCGCTTGTATAAGCATAAAGGTTCATGGCTTCTCATGCTCTCTTTCCAGCATATCTGGTCAAGATCTTGGTCAAGTGCTTTAATTGACCAACCGTTAACTTTGGGATGGCTACAGCTAGTGAAACCCAGAAACTGTGTATGTGATGTGCCAACTTCCTTCAAACTTCTTCTTGATCTTCGGCTGTGATTCGTGGTCTTATGTGCAGAAACCTTTGTGCCAGTAACAAATGGAAACTGCATGTGCAATGCGATGATACATCAGAAAAAACCTCAGTTAATATTCCGAAGACCTCTTAAAGACATTGTTTCACCTGCCTCCATATTGTTCGTGCTAAAAGAATTTATCTCCAGAATGAAGGGATTGGTGATCAAACTAGATGTGGTCTCATCAAGCCTTCTAACATCTCCTCCATACATGATCGGGGACCTGGCCATTGCCCACAAAGTCATCTGCGAAGGAAAATACTTGTATCGAGTCATCAATAAAGAATCTTAATTTTTTAACGAAGGACAGACGCATATATAGAGTTGCATGCACATACCTGGGTTTTCTGCTCATCTAGATTAAGGTTACTCATTCTGTATGGTCCTCTACCAGAACCTAGGATACAGAAAAGCAATGTGATTATTCAAGTTTTTGTCTTTTCCAGTTGAACTCTTTAAACACTATCAAGTTACTCATGAATACCCCAGCAACTTATGTGGCAAACCCCTGGACCCGAATAAAAAACAGGTCCAGATTTATTACTTTTCAATGATCTTGTCGCTAGGATGTGTGGCGTTCCAGTTAATTACCATGATAAACACTCGAGTGCATGGACAAGCTATGCTGTTTTGCTACCCCAATGTAACAGCAAGCATTCCACTGCTTCGTTCAATTTACATGTCAGTAATCCATGTTGCAATCAGGTTTCCTATACTCAGTCTCACCAACCCCTTACAAAATAAAATCACTTAAAATGTGCTAGAATTAAAGAGAACAAACATAATTTTTATCACCAGGATCTGTAAGCCATCCTACGGGCAGCATATCCAAGTCGGGCCATGACTTCCCCAGCAAGCCCTTTGCACCAATCTTATTAGCAGCAGCAAAGTCCCTGAAGTAGATGAACAAGAAATCGCATAAAAAATGAGAGAATAGAAGAAAAGAACCAATTAGGAGTGACAATCTATATATAATTCGAACTTTAAGCTCTCATTTTACATGAAAACTTTATTCCACCTTGAAACATCGAAATGAGCTGCAACATCTCCCCATTTATCCCAATCATCACCTGTTACCCTGTACATGTTGACTAATCCACTTATATCTTTCGCCATGACTGGTGTCGGGATAACTCCCGGAGACACAGAATACAGAATGGGACGATTGAGCTTTTGCAGAACCTGAACAAGTGCATTTCATGTATCATCATCTCTATTCAGAAAAGATTGAAGACATAAAATTTATGCACCAGAAAGTGCTGTATACCTCTGACACAAACGTGATTTCATCTACATCCAAGTCATTACCAAATACACAATCATGTTTCACTGCAAATAAAAGAGAAGAAACGAACATGAAAGTTATTAAAACAAAGAACGACTGACATGAAGCCACTAAGAAAATGTAGAGGTATAAATAAATAACAGGAGGGGAGGTTGACATGTGCAGAATTCACAGTTTTGTAATAAATACGTGTCAAAATTACTATCCATAAGAAGCTTGCCCGAGCCCAAAATGCTTGAAGAGGTCAAAACTCTTTTAGACTCACTTGCAATATTACTATCCAGTCCTTCCAGGACCTTCAACATACATTTTCCACATCATTATAGAAACAATACTTCATCCATACTTCCAATAATGTAAATTCTCGAAAGATGCAATGCCGCCTTGACAAGTTATTTTACCGTTTTGAATCAGGAAAAAGAAGAATTCATTCTCTAGAAAATGTTGAGACTTGAGATATACCCTAGTCGACTCATAGACTTCTTAATGTGTTGGGTAAGATGGAAAAATGCAGGTTTCAGTTAATTATTAATTACCAAAATCAACACCCCACTCAGCATACTGTTCATAAAGTGACCTCAAGAAGGCTCTTCCTGCTCCCAACTTAGTATTTACACTCATGAAACCATGTGGCATCCATCCACAAGCCCTCTCCGTGATCCCTATGTCTTTTGCTCGCCACAGTCGTCCAGACTCTTCATAAGCACGTCCCTAAAACAAAAAAGAAATTTAGCACTAACTTCTTAGAGCAAATCGATTAGAGACTTGAGCTCATATTGGAACTTTCACCTGACTAGTCTATTTTTATGATGATAGTGTTTGTAGGACTGCAAAATCTGAGCATGGAAGGGAAAAGAGAAGAAATACTTCTGCTGAAAAAAAAAAAAAAAAGAAGCGAGAAGAATGAATCCTCATTGATAGTAAGGACTAATACCGTGGTAGTATCCAAGATGGGGGTGTTCGCATCATATGCCTGTCTACTTAATCCTCTCATAACATGAATCCCAAACTTCAAACCCACGCTCTGTACTTTCTGGGCTACTTCAGTGAACCCTTTCCCATCTTCAGATGAGGGCCACCTATCTGGATCAGGGATCAACCTCCCCCATTCATCAATTACATCAAATCCAAGAGAATCTGGGTGAGCACCTGGAACGTTCTTCCTATACCACAGGTAATCTACCACTGCATACTACATGAATTTCACAGATAAAAGACATCTTCTATTTCAATAAACTTTCCCGTTCTCAAATTGCTCCAGTAATTAAAAAAGTTCTAAAAGTTGATTGTAGTCATCAGCCATTTTATACCTCATATCCATAAGGCTGTAGACGCTGAGAGATCTTTTCGGCACTTTGCAAGAAGTCTACTTCAGATAGAATCCAGTCAAAGGAATCGTAAGAGTTCCAACCTCGAGGTGGGAAGCTAGCGTGCTCAGGTTGAGTTGATACCCTAAAACGGGTTATGTACAAATTTTTAAGTTCACAAACGAATATATTTAGCCAAGAAAGCCTTCAAAACAAATGTTGGAACAATTATGGGATTGAAAAAAAGAAACATGATCGTGTATTCGTCAATTCAATGTCCTATGAGGATCGTCAAAGACTAAAGAAGACAGTATATCGAAAAAGTAAAATTTAAGAATGAGCGAGAAGGAAATTTAGAACAAAGACTGGAATATATCTACCAGCATAACTCCATTGTGAATCAGGAGTCATGACAGTAGTGAAGAGAAGAAACATAGAGAGAGAAACACCTGTAAATAAAAGAACTGAAGGAGAAGAGAAACAGAGAGCTCAGCAGTTGGATCCTCATTCCCTATACTGAAACGCAAATACAACCCTAATTCTTCCTAGCTATCTACGACAAGGTGAGAGCATATCTCATATAGAGCAAACATACCCATGGCTACTTAGTAAAACACTTCAATAGGTTTAGCATCACTCAATTAGGAAAGAAAGTACATGGCTCTACAATCAGACGAGGCACCCTAAAAATCATGCAGCCAACACCGGATCGTGACATCATCCCATTTATGAAAATCGTCTGGATATCTAAATTCCTATGGCCTAAATAATTAAGTACATGAAGGGAAACAAATATTCAAACTAGATATATGATCCAAGGAAAACGGATATAGTATACGAGGGAATTAATCAAATATAATATCCTGCAGAACATTCATAAAATAATGTAAGGAAACAAGTATCACGTAAGGAAATTCAATATACGTTATCACTATTAGAAAATTAAAAGAATAAAAAACAACATATTATTATTATAATTATATTATTATTAAATATATTGAGTTGGGTTGTCCCATCTACATGGGTCGAGCCCCGCCTAATTAGGTTTGGCCCAAAAAGGTTAGATTGATGTCCGCCCCATTACAAGATTTCACAGTTTTATTGATGGATAAATTCTGTCAGTGTGTGATTAGAAGTTCGTCGGTGATTTTTTTACCGACGTTATCACCTACGGATTATGTCCGTCGGGTTTTTTTTTATCGGTGATTCAACATTCCGTCGCTATATCGGTCGGCAAAACAAAAAAAACTATTTGCTGATGGTTTTACAGACAGAATTTACGCGCAAAAAAAAGATTCCCGCTTGAAATATACCAACGGATTTGTATTTTGTCGGTGATATCGTGATTTACCGACGGACACTACCCGTCAGTAAAATTATCAGTGAGTGTATGAAATACCGACCGAATATATATGTCTGTAAATTCGTCGGTAAGTGTGGCAGCTACTATTAAATGCCGACGGAATAATTCTGTTGGTAAGTCGGTCGGTGAGTGTTTAAAATACTGACCGAATGAATCCTTCGGTAAAATCCTTGGTGATTGTTTTTTTCTAAATTTGTTTTTAAAAAAATTATTTAGGATATATAATATAAAACTATATAAATTAATTGTAATACAAACCAATTATGCAAATAAAATTTATATTAAACAAAAAAAATAAAGTTAAATAATATTCATTACAAATTGAATATGTTTCAAAAAAAATATTAAATGAAGTTTTAAAGGTAAATAATGTTTATTACAAATTAATATAAAGGTGGAGCTGGAGGAGGAGGAGGAGATCCTGGAGAAGGCTGGTGGTTATACAGCCAAAAAGGATTAGGCGCACATGTTCCACTATTTGCCATGTTCATAACCATTTCGCAAAGCTATTCATAAGCTGCTTTTTGTTGTTCATACTCCGCTTTTTGTTGTGTTTGAGACGCTTTGATTTGCTAAGACTCCGCTCTTTGTTGTGCATGAGACGCTTTGAGTTGTGCGTACTCTGCTGATAGGTGGTCGTATTTCTCGGTGAGCTGAGCCGTGTGTTGCTGCAAGGCCTCGAACTCCTTAGATTGGGAGCTCTCAACGGTTGAAACACTACGGGTTGACCGCAAGTTGTCGGTCGTAGTGTTGGAGAGCCCGTAAACCTGATTTATCGGGTCCATTTGACGAGCCAACCTCCATCCACAAATCCAGATCGAATTCTGGATGGGTCAAAATATCGTCCCCGTATCTCTCCCTCAACCGATTATTATAGGTCTTTTGAAAATAAAAAATAAAAAAGTAATCATCATATTCAATTCAATAAACATAATAACTTACATAATAAAATGGTTGAACAAACATACCATGAAATGTTGAGCACGGTTATCAACGAACTGTTGCACCCCCTTCTGGCGGTCTTGACTTCGCACGTGCGTCTCCACAAACAGCTCCATCAGGCTCGGCTCACGTTCAAGAGACGCAGCCTATAATGAAAAAAGATATATTAACAATAACTGAATTTAATGATATATTTCATTTAAATTAATCTTACCATCCGTTTCGCATATACAGCAAACGAAACGGAACCGCCAGTGTGTGTTGTCACCCCGCCATGAATTGGCCGATTCTGGTTGCTAGCACCGGACTGTGAGCGTCGGGTGACCCGCTCAGACGTCACGTGCTCAATATAGTGCGGCCATATATCTTCTGAGATGTATATCGGTTTGAAATCCCTCCAAACCGCAACATCGTTCCAGCCTTGGAAACAAATACAATCTTACAAAATCTAAAACAAACCATAACAGGTATAGAATTATACATTCATATACTACAAATTTGTTTGAGAAATAACAATAAAACATGTACATTTACTAACAAAATACATATACTAAAAAAAAAAATTGACATTTAATTAAATGTTAAGATTTAAAAAGAAAGAATTACTTACAAAAATTGATAAAATCCGTCGGTAAATCAGAACACGGATGCTATGGCCATAAAACTTCAAGAAATATAACTTGTTGTGCTGATATGAGGGAGATTTTTGTTTGGGGGGGATGGGGGGCTAGTTGTTTGTAGATGAGGAGAGTTGGGATTAGGAAGAAGAAGGAGAAATAGAGTAGGAGAGGGTTGGTAGCGTGTACATATATTAACTTTTCTTGACGGTTTCACCGACAGACAATCCATTGGTGAAACTATCGATGATTCTGACGGAACAATCGGCACGTCATCGTATAGATCTGTCATTTCAAATCCGTCGGCAATATAAACGGCGATCGTTATACGGGTTGAATCCGTCGGTGATTTCGTCTGAAAAAATAACCCGCCAAAACCTTAACGTCAGCGACCCGTTTTTTTACGACAAAAACATTTTTGTCTGTAATTCAGTCGGTAACTACTGACAAAAATTTTATGTCGGTAGTTACCAACTGAATTATGGATGGAATATTGGTCGTTGGTAATTTCGATTACCGACAGAAATATTCCGTCAGTAAATCCGTTGCTATTTAGTAAATTTCTGGTAGTGCGCCCAACAGTTCTAATTTTTTTTTTTTTGTCTGGGATGGGTTGTATACAAAATAAATTATTGTTTTGCTTACAGCACGAAGACAAGGGGGAATGAAAAAGAAGAAAAAGGGAGAAGGTTTACTTGGTATGGGAAGCTGTTGGTGAAGAGAATGGTGGTCACGCTAGCGGTGGGATGCTGGAGGAGGAAGAGGGAGAATTTGAAAGAGAAGGAGAACTCAATGGCGCACTCACTATGTGAAGTGGTCGAGCAGCTACTTGTGGTGGTTAAGCTGGTGGTGAGGGTGCTGATTGTTAAAGGCCACGATAGAGAGAGAGAGGAGAGAGAGTTAATAGTGGCAGCAAAAATAAGGGAGATGACCCATTTTTTATTGACTTTAGACCTAATTTCTTCATTTTCAGGCCGTGAAATCCAACCCAATCTATAAAGGGGTGGAAGGGGGGAAGTTTCATCTTTATTGGTGTCAAATCTTGGTCCTTAATTTGATCTGCTAGGATCCGAACCGTTAGCTAGTGTCAGATGATCATTTTCGTGTAAGTTTTGTTCAATTTAATGGAGAGATGAAGCATAAGATGCCTTGGGAAGAAAGTTACTTGAGCAGTTTCTCTAGAGAAGAAGATAAACAGTCAATCTCAAAAAAGAGTTGTTTTGGCAAAGTGCATTTTAATCCTTCGATTTCTAATGTTTCTCAATTACACCTCTAATTGGCTTTAAACTTTTAATTTTATTCAATTTTACCCATAATGAACTTTAATTTCAGCCCTGGATTTCAATGTTTTTTTTTTTTTGGTTCTTGGTTTTGGATTTATGAAATTTGCCTTTTAATTAACCATTAAACTTTCAATTCTCTTCAATTTCACCTCTGATTTCAATCAATTGGGTCCCTAGAAATTGGTGTCTTTTTCAAAATGATCTTTGGCTATGAATTTCTTCAATTTAGTCCTTAATTAACCTCAAAACTTTGATTTTCTTTCAATTTTGCCCTTGATTTCAATCAATTGACTTGATAAAAATTAAATTTGATCTCCTAAAATTCCAATCTTCTCAATTAAGCCTAAATTGGGATCCTAAACTTATTTTTTCACCAATGAAGCCTTTAATAAAATTAATTTGATCCATTTAAAAAATAAGTAAGTTCTTGCACCTAATTAAATCCTTCAATTGAACCCAAATTAATTTTTAAACATAATTAACTTTAATTTGACCCATGATAAAATCAAATTGACCTCTTAAGAATCTAATTATATCTATAGATTTAATTTTTATATAGATTCATCCAATAATAATTTAATTTGACCTTGAATCTATATTGTCTTTCTCATTTTAGGTAAAATGAGGTACAATTAGACTCCTGATTCCATTCAAAATTGTAACTTGATTTTTCTATTTATTTGAAATCCTCATTAGCCTACTTTTTCCAAAATATCAATCTCTATTTTATTTTTTTGGTTTTTTTAAAAGAAAAAAAAATGAATTTAAGAAATAACCTAAAAGGGGTTATAACAACAATAATGATAAAGGATAATCAAATTATTTTTTAATATGTCAATGATGCTAATGTGTTGAGAATTGTAAGTCTTCTCATGTCATTTTCAACTCTACTCGAGGGAATGATAACTTTTATCTTTAAAAAAGTTAACTAAAAGTTAGAAGGGTTTGAATATTTACTATGGAATTAGAGACATAACTATAGTGGATTCATATGGTGGTGTATTCTTTTTTTCTTTCTCATTCTTATCTTAGGTTGTGTGGCTTATTTGAGGAAAATTTTTAAAACTTCTTCCTACTTTTTAACTAGGAAAAAAAAACAAAAAATAAGGAGTAGATGCAAATGCAAAGGATCCTTCCTTGGGAAAAAAAAAAGTGTCATTCTAAAGGGTTGTCTAATTTGGCAACAACATATTAAGTGAGAAAAAAATTTGATTAAGAGGATTTCATGGTTTAAGATTTGTATTTGTGTTTCAATTTGAGAATTTGGGTGGAATTAGGATTAGGGCTCCATGGTTTTAGGTTTGTGATTTGTGTTTCAATTTAGAAACTAGGGTGGAATTTGAGAATCTCTATTTTGTTGATGGGTTTGGAAAAAAAAAAAAAAGAGCAACACAAGAAATAGTGGCAAGGTAAGTTTTCTCTTATAGTTTTGCAAGAGCTCTTTTACAACACAAACAATAGTAAGACTATCACGATTCTTTTAATAATTCATCAATAACAGACTAGACCTAAATTGCTTAACTATCTTTTGATTTTTTAAATGATTTTAGGATTCAAGTAAAAGATTCTTAATTTTAGATATATTTGATTGCTTTTAATGAGAATTATCAAGCAATATCGTTGGATTCATTACATGTGTCAATTAGGCCTATTACATTGTCAATAACTAAAAAGATGAAAGAGGAATTTAATGAGATAATTCAAGATATTTGGGCATTATTTCCTACAAAACTTGCAAATTCAATTTGTTTTTCTACTTACACATGGGTTGAACTTATTTTCATAATGTCTAATTTTGTGTTAATAGGCATAATTTTTTATTTGATCGTTTGTTTGGGCTAAAATTTTACCAAAAAATTATAAAAATCTTGTTTTACACGGGGTTAATTAGACTTTTGTAATGATCAAATATTAGGAAAGCCTTTGAAGCCTAGAATTTAGTGTTCAAGATATGCAATATTTTCTTAGTTGATTTAAGATTTTTATTTTATTTTATTTGGACTTTTTTGTTATTTTTCCAGCCTTATTAGTACATTGTACCTAATATAAATAAGGTTATTTCACTTGTATTTAGAGAGATGGATTGATTATTTAGAAACAAAACTTATATGTGAGAATTTGTTTTTACTCTTGATTCTTTAAGGAACTTTTAACACTTATCAAAGATTATTTCTTTGTAGCGCTTATCTTGATAAGATTACTTCTTTGTAGCACTTATCTTGATACTTTTGATTATAGGTTCATTATAATTAACAAGTTAGTTTTTCAACCTTATACCTTCGATTTTTTATTCATTATAATTAACAGGTCAAGATCTTTATCCAATAACTATATTTTTTTTGTTTAGTTAATCATTAAATCATGTATTTCTAACCTTGATTTTTATTTTCTCAGCTTATGTTCAATCTTGATTATATGTTCTAAGATTTTTACCCTCCAACTTAACATAAGTTGGTATCAGAGTTTGACTTTAAAATTAGATTTTATCTATGTACTTATCTTTAAATTTATTTTTTATTCATGTTTTGAGTCTTGTTTCCTTTATTAGGTTTGGTTTTCTCTCAAAATTGTTGAACCCTAGTTCTTATGTCTTGAATTTCAGCTTATTTTGTAGTTTAGCTTAGTGTTATGTTTTCTTTGAAACATATATATATATATATAAAGAGAGGGAGAGAGAGAAAAGTTATTTGTTATTTAGTTTCTACTAATATTTATTAAAAAAGAAAAAAAAGATCAAATTACAAAATCGGGTTGATTAAAATTGGTTTTGTTGGAATCGATAGCATTAAGAAAAATTCCATATATAAATTGTTTTATTAAGTTATCTAGTGTTGAATTCAAGTTTTACATTGATTTAAGGTTTTGTTTAATTATTCCTGAATTAGTTTTTGTTTCTTGATTGTCTTGTTTTTTTTAGTTAGTTGGTTGAACTTTATAAGTTGAAATCTTTTGATAATTTTTGTTTAGTTCAATAAAGAACTTGATGCAGACTCTATGGATATAAAGATCTATAAACCCACAGTTAAATCGACTCTTTTCAAGAAAGCTAAAATTATATTTGAAATTGAGCTTGACATAACAATAGCCTATAACAAAACACTAAGACTATAAGTTATCGAACCCCCACTTAACACCCGCAAAAAGATGCGATAAGAAGTATAAAAGATGTCATGAAATTTGGTTAATTCTTTTATAAATCATAGTAGTTTAATGAAAAATCAAAACATATAAGTCATAGTAGTTTAATGAAAAACCAAAACATATGAGCAAAACCTCTTATACACAGTAACAATAATTATTGAAATCAAATTTTATCCTAAAAACAACTAAAAAAAAGTTAAATAACTATATTTATAATATGTAAAAACTTCTTAAACAATGTTGGAAAAATAATAAAAGAGTTATAAATAAAAAAAATAAATTAACTAGGAAATTAATACAATTCCCTCAATATAGGTTTTAGACTTTATCACACGACCTTCTCAATATTTGATTACCCTATAATTTAAACCCAAAGAAAACAAGACCTTTAGAAACTTCTGGTTAAATTTTAACCTGATTCAATAGTCAGATAAAAAAAAATATTTGTTAAAGTAAAATTATGCATTAGAAAAAATAAGTTTCTAACCACCAAAATTAATTAACCTATAAAGTAGATAGGTTAAACCCCTTTTGTGCATGAATTAAATTAACTAAGGTTTAATATCCATTTGTTGATGTTATCCTCTTGAAATTCACTTTGGTCTAAATATTCTAAGTAAGTTTATTAAATATATCTTTAAACTTTTTTTATCTTTGATATTACAATTGGCATAAAAAAAAACTTACAATAAATCTTTTAATGTAGTCTTGATCACATCAAAACTACATAAAGAATTTAAAGTGGTAAAAGGCAAGAGGGTGAGGGAATAAAATCAAGAAAATCCAAGTTAAGAGAGAGACACGAGTGGAGTGATATATCTTTAAGTACAAATATATAAAGAAATGTGTGAGGATCATTACTAATAAA